TATGTGAAAAAAAAAACACCAGAGGGGGGACGGTGGGGGGGGGGCAGTGGGGGGGCTGTTCAGGGTTGTTGAGATGTTCTGTCGGTGTTAACTGTGTCAGCTGTGGACGTGTTTATCGTTTTATTGATTAATGATCCAGTTCAACGACAGTTCAACTGTTTTGTTGAGAAAGTACAGCTGACAGTCGTGGAGTGGAGTGTGTGTTGGTGAGAACAACTGACAGTCGTGGAGTGGAGTGTGTGTTGGTGAGAATCTGTGGATACGACACACGGCCAACGGTACGATATCGTCCGAGAGTCGTGTCAAGTGTGGAAGACTTTCCAATTCGTTACTTCTTTATTTAAAACCCAAGTACTCACTGTCAGAAATACACAAGAAAATACTAGTACTCCAGAACATGGTACCAGGCAGCCAATCAGAGGACGGACGGTGACGAGTCTCTTCTTCTTCCTGTGTTTTTTTGCTTCTAGGTGTGAGGGGTCAACGGGTGAAGGTCGAGCGCGAGGTGTTGTCTTATCCTGGACAGACGGTGAACCTGCGCTGTGCCTTCACCGATGCCACGGGGGTGCAGCTCACAATGGTCAGACACACACACACACACATCTATAATACAGTTTTTTTTCTCCAGTTTGGTTCATGAATGTCATTTCGTTCACTCAGACTTTTGTTTGTCGACCAATGAAACGTCTGTTTTTAGTGTTTGTCAACGACGTGTCGCTCTGCAGATGTTTAAAACTGAGTAATAGGAACCAATAAAATGATAAAGCCTGAGTGTGTGTGTGTGAGTGTGTGTGTGAGTGTAAAGCCTCCCCATCTGGGGCATTAAATCTTGAATCTAAAGCCCCGGCCCACAGAGTCGTCCTGCGGCTGTTGATGTTTTAATGTTTTAATCTTTTAATGTTTCATTTTACCAAACAAACACTTCTTCTGCTCGGGGGGGTCGGCTGTGCTAATGGGACCGCTTCCTCCCTGCATGTTAATGAAGTGGGTGGAGCTCAGTGTTCCTCTAAAGCCTCCCCCCCCCCGTGGTTCTCCGTCACAGGTCACATGGATCTATGAACCAAAGGACGGAACGAGGAGCAACATCGCCGTCTTACACTCCAGCTTCCAGCCCAACTACCCCGACTCACCCCTGAAGGGCAGGGTCAGTTTTACCGCCACTCCTCCGAGCTTGGACAGTCCGTCCATCCAGATCACCGACGTCAGGATGACCGACGAGGGGCAGTACATCTGTGTGTACGCCACCTACCCCGGGGGGAACGAGCAGGGCATCACCGAGCTCGTCATGCTGGGTGAGTACCAGGGTCTACTTCCTGTGTTCATCAAGGGTTTGAAATTAGTCTTCAGTGGTTTCCACCCCCCCTC